AAAATCTCAGTATTATTTAGAAGTATTAAGAATAATCATGAAGAAATTTTTTATTTGATGGATTGAGTAGATTTTGACAATTTTGTTCTCATAGTTTTTTTTGGTTATATATATATGGAAGCATTATTGATGGAAATATGCTTGGGATGCTTGGAGAGAGTCTGTGGAAAGCTGAGTATTTTTGTGATTTATCCATCGAATTTTATCTTTACCTATGATCAAATTAATTTGCTTTCAGAGTCTGTGCGTGGTGCATCTGCTCAGCAACAAAATGGTTCGGTCCTTTGCGAGCTTAAGAGAAGAAGAAATAAAATTAATGACAGATAAACTTGAAGAAGCATGTTCATCTTCTTCATCAATAAATCTCAGCAATGTCCTTATGGCTCTTACAAACGATGTCATATGCAGAATCACCTTTGGTAGAAAATATAACAGCAAGGAAGGTGGAATTGATGTCAAGAAATTAGTGATGACATCCTCTGAGTTTTTTGGCAAATTCTTTTTCGGAGATTTTATTCCGAGTTTGGCATGGATCGATAGGATCCGTGGCATAGATGATCAAATGAAGGATATGAATAACAAGTTAGAGGGGTTTTTAGACAACACGGTGCAAGAACATGTAGATGCTGATCATGAAGAACCATCAGACTTTGTTGATGTGTTGCTATGGCTTCAAAAAGATAAAACCAAAAAGTTTCAGTTTGACAAAAATGACATAAAACTCATCCTCAAGGTAACAAAATCCATTCCTTTTTTAAAATTCATTTTTTGCATATTTTCAAGATTTTTTTATAGAATTTGCTATACATGTCAAATGATTTTAAATGAGATGTGTTTGGGTAAATAATATTTTTTTTTTTGTAGAAAAACATATTATATGTCTGATTTAGTCTCCATTGTTTTTATTTTTCCACTGATAACTACATTAAAAAAAAGATTTACAAAAACCAAAATTTGATCAATAGAAAAAGTGTACTCTACGCAAAGATTAAGAATATATATAAATTTTTCACTCTCTGTTATATACCACACGATTAAGGATATATGTATATACTTTTCACTCTCTCTTATATACCACACGATCTAAATATTAAGACCAGTGGTTTAGTGCGTAATGCTAGATTTTATACACATAATTTTATTTTGTATAAATCATGTTACCATTTGGATTTCTGAACTGTTTGGTTAACAATTTTTTTTTTATAAACTACTAGAATAAAAAAAAGGAAAATAATCGAATAATCGTCTTTTTCCTTTCAAAACTAGACTTTGATTTGGATCATGATTGTCACTGGTCTAATATTTTACGTATCAATTATTATTGTTTTTTTTAGGATATGTTTTTTGCGGGAACAGCCACAACTGCCTCACTACTAGAATGGATAATGACTGAGCTAATTAGGCATCCAAAATGTATGAAGAAACTTCAAGATGCGATTAAGTCAGTTTCGATGCATGATTCAAATGTAACGGAGAAAGAAGTTGAGCAAATAAGCTATTTAAATAATGTGGTCAAGGAAGGGCTACGGTTGCATCCTTCTGGTCCATTACTATACAGACTACCAAGTGAAGATGTCAAATTAAAAGGATATGACATTGCTGCAGGGACACAGGTAAATATACTTTTAATCCTATAAGACTAATTAAACCTATAAGTGAAAATATAAAAATGCTTGAGTTGTAAGACAGGTGATAATCAATGTATGGGCAATCCAACGAGACCCTGCGATATGGGGACATGATGCAGAAGAATTTAGACCGGAGAGACATCTAGAGTCAAATTTGGATTTTAATGGTACTGATTCCAAGTTCATTCCATTTGGAGCCGGTAGAAGACTTTGCCCCGGGATCGGATTTGCTATGGTCATGGCCAAAGTGATACTAGCCAACCTTGTGAAACGGTTCAACTATAGAGTCGAGGTCGGACCAATGGGAGATGATATGCCTAATCTAGTTGAAGCAACTGGTATTGATGTTTGTCGCAAGTTCCCTCTCATTGTTTTTCCATCAATTGTGGACACCTGAAGGTATAGCTTCTCCAATTCACTTCTTTTATATGATGATTGAGTGTGACCTTTGCTTTTGTGTTCCTCTATGAAGAAATTTGATGCATATGTAGACTACTGTCGCTGTTGTGTTTCATGAATAAAAATTAAATATTTGTCGAATGTGCTATGCGCATGTTTAAATTTCATCTAACTATTTTCTTAAAACACCAAATACTTTATTTGGCTATGCAAAATTAAAGTAAAATACTAAATATATTAGGGCATCTCCAACCCCACTCCATATCCTATTCCAAACTCCAAAATGGAGTAAATCCATTTTTTCCGCCAAATATGGAGAGTAATCTCATTTTCCACTTTATTTTGGACTTGAACTTTTTTATTTATAAAATGGTCTTTCAAATTTTAAATAATTTCATTTTAAGAGGCAAATTAATAATTATTTTGGTGATGATTTTCTATTTGTTTGATATTATTTTTAATTAAAGTTTTACGAATTTTTCAAAATCACAAGAATTTGTAACAAGATAATTATATTTTATTGTAATGTGTGAAATTGTGATTATGTGTAAATTTTTTTTGTTAAAAATGTGTATGTACGTGTAATTTAACTTATGTTATTACGAATTTAATTTTTTAAAATATATATTTTAAAGATATTATGTATGTATATGTGAATTAATATTAACAAAACATAATGTTACGACTTTAATTTATAAAATAAAAAAATATTGGGGTCAATTTGTAAATTTCATATATAAAATGTATTATTAGTAATTGATAATAAATAGAAAAAAGAAATATACTTAAAATATTATTTTTGGAGTGAGAAATGGAGTAATACATTGGATTAAAATCCAACTTCATTTTAGAGTTACTCCGTTTTGGAGTAAAAACTAGAGTGATACATTGGCGATACTCTTAATGTACTTATATCAACATGTAAAGTTTAATGGTAAACTACCTTGTAGCTGAAAACCAAAAACATAAGTTTATTACTTTTCTTATAATGCAAAATTTATTCAACCAATTTTTTTTGGTTACATAAGATATTTCGCTTTTGAAAGTGGCTTAATGAAGAATAAAGATAAGTTAGAAAATAGTAGGGCACTATGGAAAGGATTATTCAGTTGGGTGAAGTAGAGGAAAAGAGCCCCCATGCATCGAAGCTTGCGGATGTCAAAAGACGAATGAGTGAGTCCCATGGCGGTCCTGAGAAGTTAAAGGCCACATGGAAAAACAAATTTGGGTCGGTAGTTATTGATGTTTTGAAAGAAAGGAAAAATAAACTAAATGTTTAAAGGGCTAATCGAACCCTCCACCTCTTTTTTATTACCCATGAACCGATTGAACTAAAATAACTTTATGCATATATATAAGCCGATAATATATATAAACAAAACATCAAAAATTTTGGACCGCAAGCCTGGTGAGTCCCAATTTGTTTATAGTTATATGCAAAGAAAAAATGATCTCGTGTCTCTTGTGGGCAGAGGCAGAAGTCAAAACCAGAAGAGACACGAGAACTCCAATATGCCATACGAGCAGCGTCGAAAATCGATTTCGACGAGCTAACCAAGAGAGAAAAGCCTTAAGGAAAACCTTAATAAAGTTTTTTAATTATAAAAAGTAAACTAGGTTAATAGCCGCGTATACACGCGGAGTTTTTTGTATGCAATTTTTTTTAGTTTCACAAATTAATAAAATTTTCAAAACCAAGAAAATTTATTGATGAAGCCATTAGACACAGAATTAAAGTTCTTAGAATCTACCAAATCACCCAAGCAAATATAAAACAAACCAATATAGTACTCTCATTGGCCTAACATGTTCAGTTGGAAAAAAGTCATGAGAAGCCTTAAAATAGATGGACTCCCATTGGCGAGTTGGCCTTTAAAGTAAAGATGAGAGCTTTTATTGTTTGTCTCTATTTAATTAAGAGTGTATCATTCTAATTTACGAAGCTTGTAAATAATTCAAGTGAATTAATAATCCATTTGTTTTTACCAAGCTATTTGGTTAGAGGAAACGTCTCATACTTGTATATTGAGTTTCAACTATCTGTTTTTCGAATAAAACGATAATTTCACCTTTCTCGTTTTTCTTAACCTCCTTTATGAAAATCCAATGCACGCACAAACTCTTACCGAAAGATCTTTATGGGTTCCCCCGCCTGTCTAACTCTGCCATGGATATGAACGTCTACTATTTTGCCGATATTTCTCTGAGAATACCAATAGAATGCTGCTACAGGACACAACAAACAAATAAAATAGATCGTTGTGTACGTAAACAAAACCAAAACGATAACACATGTGTCATAAGGCATCTTTCATAAACCCATCAATTAAAGAGGAATAAAAAGAAGAGACGAAGGTAAATGATCTTACATTCTTACCCATGAACATTATGAATTTTTATGTCGAGAGTAGAAGGCATTAACGTTTTTTCGACTCTACATATATTCCACTTCCATGAAAGAAATTGATATGGAGTTTGCTATGACCGATAACTCAAAGTTAAAAAACAAAATTATCTTGGGTTTATAATTTGTTTAGAGATAATTACTAAAACAACTTTGGAAAGTAGGTTAATTACTAGAACAATTTTTATTCAACATTGAAACTCAACACAAGTTATAAAAGATAAATAAACCTTAGTAATAAGTTTTTATTACGAAAATGCCATTCATAATTTGTAAAAAAAAAAAAAAATCAACCATTTGTTTGAAACCGCGGCCGCGGAGGCTGCGGAAGCACTGGATCGTGCTCGGCGGAGGTGTGGCAGAGGTGTGGAGGCCGGAATTTAGGTA